TTTTTGGAAATACCTCTAGAAACTCGCATGTCCTCTAGTTTTTCTAAAAAGTCAGTGACACTACTAGTACCATTAAACTTTAGTCTCCAACGACTCACATCCACGAATCGCTGAGGAGGTACACCAGACTCGAAACTAACACGAGAAATATTCCTGCTATCATTCGTAGTATGAAAATTGACCGGTGAAAAGGGATCTACTTGAGTAGTGCCTATGGTAGCGCAACGACTACTAGGGAGGTTTAATCCAAAATCATTAACATTTTGTGCTGGACGTACGGAAGTTGCATTCATGTCACGCATCATTTCTGAAATTTTGTTCGTTAAAATTGAAACATCAATGTCCTTTTCCATATCTTGATCTAAGGTTGATTTAGGCTGGGAAGATTGTGCCGCCGGAATATTGAAATTTACATGATTACCATTAGCATTAGGTGCCTTTTCACTATAACTATTGACATGTTCCTCTGCTTCGTCAAATGAAATCAGATCATCTACAAAAGAATGGCTGGTGGAACTGGCATTTGGAGGAGTATTATTATTTGTGGGAACAGTATTACTGGCTGAAGTAGTATTAGATGATTTTCTCCTAGCAGCCCTATATGCACAATCTAATGCAAGTTTCAAATTATTGGCTACGGTGGTCAATTTCAATCTTTCTATCTCATCTTCCGGTATTCTAGCTGGAAGCCTATCAATACGTTTGGAGACATGAATGAGCCGCGATTGAATTTTTTTAAATTCATTTTCGAAATTGTCCTCATCAAATGTTTGAACATCTCCTAATAATTCAGTTACTTTATTATTACAAATCAAAAGCTCATTTTTAGGATCAAACTGCATGGTGGATGTTTGTAATGAACCTTCCTGTTCAGCCTGCAACGCAGCTCTTAATAGCACCCTTTTTTCCTGAACTGTTCCATTTCCTAGGCATGCACCGCGAAGCAAAAGTTCATAAGTTAGCTCATCGCTACGTAGTCTATTGATCTCCATGATAATCCTAAAATTTCTCGGTACCCCAAAAATCAGTTATAAATTCAAGTCCACGCCTGGCTCACTATAGAATAACACGATTGAAATTTCTCAGTCTCAAATCTCGGCAATAATAAATTCGAAGTCAAAATAGGCTGGTAATAAGTATGAAATAATCGAAAATTATCGATAAGCAAAAAAAATAGTTAATAATCTCAATCAAAAATTCAAAAAAAAAATTCAAGATCAAATGTCAAATTCAATTTGAAATATCAGAAAAAAATATAGGGAAATCAACTATCAGGGAAAATGAAAATATTTGCACATGCAAACGACAGTTTGCATACCCCCTCCCTTCCCAGAGAAGAAGAAAAAAAAAAACGAACAAGGAAACAATCCCTAAAATTTTGACAACACCTAGACGGATACACCCAGCACGCTGACCACCCTGTACAACAACAAACACGACCTGAAAATTTTATGTTCACCAGAGTAAACCTCTAGTAAATAAGAAAAATATATATATATTATCAATTGTTTGATCTATTACTGTGAACCACCTGTATGTGTACGCCCTGTATATTGATATCCAATGATCAATGATAACAAATGTGAGTGTAATGGATTTTTGGAATGACCCTGTATAAATTAATTCACTGTTGTAAAATATACAATCTAATAAAATTGACAAATGCTATCTTCAAATACTGTATAACTGACTATATTATTTTATGACCTAACCCTGTACATTTCAGTATTCAAAATTCAAAAAAAAGGGAAAAAAATCCTTTCACTAACTTTTTGATTACATTAAGAATAATTAGCTGATGTTGGTATATTCCTTGTTTTTTTTTTTTAAATAGAAATTTAAGTTGTGAAGAAGAAATGTACCTGAAAATTGAATACCCTGTACAATTAAAAATTGACGATAGGTTGTTCTCAACAGTCTATACAGAATACACAGGTCATTAGAAAAATTGTCTGAATTGTAATCTTCTATTAATCTCTCCTGATCATCAACTCCAAAAATAAATGGTAATTTTGTCCAAACACCCTGTCGATTCAATGTTTCCGAAACAAAAGAGCGATTCACAGTATAAAATAGATTCAAAAATAGACAGAATTATATGAAATTCAAGCCAAATTGGGAAGTATAAATTTTCAAAAAAAAAAAAAAAAATTCACTACCACCAATTATTACTTCATAAGTCCAACATATTCACCCTATTGTGCCACTGATAAACGTTGGGCGCCACTGTTATGCCTTGGAATCTCAGGGGGTGAGTAGTGAGAAAAATGGAATAGAATTTTATTTACCCCTGAGTTTGGTTGATGAATTACCTAAGATTTATTAGGTGTTTTAAATCTTAAATGTATTGACAACAGAAAAAGTGTTTTTAGTGCCCAGTTTGATACCGTAGAAACTAGACACTGGTAGTTCAGCGGGACAAATGGGTGGGTACGTTAGGCTTAGTAAAATACTAAGTTTGATAGGGATGAATATGCTTTTAATCACAAATAAATTCTGAAATGACAAATAATGTGACAAAAGATACTATAGTTGGCTCAAAGACTTCCAAAGTAACTGAGTATCAATAGCAATAATGCCTGAACAGTGTACAATTATTGCAACAACAAGAAATATAAATTGACTGACTGAAATCAACTCTTCAGATCAGTGTAAAATAGTACAATCACTGCTCAAAATCAACTCTCTGAGACAGTATGATAATATATAGCTTATTAATCAACAAAATAACTCAGTAAATCAGTATCAATGAGACAAAGAAATAATAAGGCCTATTTTACCGCAGTGCACTTTTGGTTTACAGGGGTATATTTTGTAGCTATACTGAGTGTCTATTAAATCAATGACATATGTTGCAATTATATTATGTTGAATGAAATTTAAAACTGATGAATTAAGGTTGGTGGTAGTTTATCCCAAGTAAAATACTATCCCTGATGGTGCATGGAACGAACTCACCAAATTATGAGCAGGTCCTGATGTACAGGGGAATCAGGTGAAGTCAGCAGCGTCAGGTGGAGTCAGCAGAGTCAGGTGGTGTCTCCTGTATGTCGCCTTTCAGCCACAAATCAAAAGGCTCCCAAAGCAGGCGAAAACAGAGCTACCGCACCAGCGCAGACTCCAGTACAGCAGTCCCAGGGAGCTGAAGGGGGCCAAATCTCGAATGCAGCGAACGGGAGAGAAGGCTTTAGCCCAATAAAAGGAACCCTATGTGGAATGACGACAATCGTGCGTTATTTTTACCAACACAAGGAATGACAAGAAAATAGCAGCTGATGATTAAAAGAATATATAGTACCTTGGATGTTGTGTGGGTTCCAGAAGTGGTGATGTGGGTCGGCTCGGCCACGTGGATTTCAGCCACGAAGAATCCCTCTATAGAGGCAACAGGAATCCCATCATCCCAGCGATGATAATGGATATCCCAAATTTGAGATCTTTTCCTAATTAATCCCAACACTAAGTAATGGAAAATCGAATATTAGGCAAATTCGAAATTATTCAAGAAACAGATCTCACGGCTTACTTTTGTGACCAGGCTGGTAGACTGCTGCAGACAAAATGGTGCCTATGAAGATCGAAGGGGCTGTCCTTGCCACATCTCACCGGAAGATCACCCTTTTTTGTGTATCTTCCCCTATACTCCCACACACATCAATCACCGGACGATATAAAATTATAGGCGGGAGATATCCCCGCGAACACCCTGTACATGGCATTTCTACCTCACCATGGTAGTGAAAACTATGTCGATAATATCAAGAGAGGTGTCTAGACCATCAGAAAAGAAGGAATATCATTAAATCACCATTTATTTCAAGTCAGAATATATTATTGCCAGTTATTATTGTTTGGATTTGAAACTTCAAATATTCAAACGCGGTCATGCGCAACTGAGGATCATTGTAGACCTGAATAGTGGGGCGAAATACGTCATCATCTTCTTCCCGTGCGATGACCCTTTATCACCATGTAACATAACCCATAACGCCCATACTTACAAGGAATTAGTGCCAAATCAACGAACAGGTACATAATGGCGAAGATACAGAGTGCCAAATCATCATAACGAGATATGTGCTGATTGTGAGCCGTTAGAGCCCGTATTCGTGATGATAGCAAGGGAACTATGGGTCAATGTCCCATGATGACAATGTTGAAAATTCGAGAAGATGCATGCAGAGGTTCGCAAATAGTGGTCATCCGTCATTAGTGTCATTACCGTCAATAGAGACTAAACGTCATCAAGCGGACAGTGACATTTTCAATAATTACAATAATTACATAACAATGATATTTATTTTTAAATATAACGGCAACAATAATTACAAGAATGATACTCGAAATTCAAGATGAAATTTGGCGAAATACCTGTGGACTGAATCGGTCATGTGTGACAATTCCAGGAACCAACTACCTACCTACCAAAATTTGTAAACAAAACATTCTGACCAAGAGGTATGCAATAACGATAACTAGTAGGCTAAAAATCACAATATAATTCCTTATTTACAGCAAAAATTGAGTTAGAATCAATAACAACGAACAGAGAAATACCAATCGATAGCCAGTAGTAAACATCACAGATGAATTCAATTATGAAACCAATGAAAAAGAGAGTGAAAAGTAGGTAAACAATAATGCATAGCTCTGTTTTCTGCAGTATTTTCGTAACGTCATGAACGAAGTGTAACACTTTGTCTAAAAAAACTCAGTCTCTCTAGAAATCCTTTCCGTATAACAGCAAGCCGAAAGGTAATTTTTCACACTTTCTTAAAGTAAGAAAGTGTCACGCCTAGCAATACCCGTGTTGTTGTTTAAAAATTACTCAGTTCAGACAGTTGTATAATATTCTTGAATCCTATAGTACCTATAGTCCCTTTCCTTCGTCTCAGTAGATACTTTAGATGCACAACTCCATTTTGCAATCTCAAAAAATTTGCTGAATCGGTATCTCACTTACAAACCGTTCTCACCGAAATTTCCGTGTTCGATTCCAGATAGTAAACTCAAATTCGTCAAAAGAAAAATCTCAGTCTCCATGGAATCACTCTTCGTATAGCAGCGAGCCCGAGGACCTCGCCTACCCGGATTCTTTGGACCAGAGCATCGGATCCGCCCGACAGTCCATCACCGATAGCACGGGCAGCCGCTTCCAAACCGCCAACACCTTCCTGTGGACCGTGGGCAGCCAACGGGCGGCCAAGGTCGAGTACTACGACAGCATCGACACCAATATGGCGTCCAGTTTGTTCCATAATGGGGAGGAGTTGGCCGAGTGCGATTCGCTGGAGAGACACCTGTCGGATTTTTCCGATAGGAAGTAGTTTCTTAGCAATTTGGGGTTGGTCTGCTTGGTTTTTCTGCTGCTTCGGGAAGTTGTATTGAGCTATCCACTTGTTTTTATTATGAATGAGTGTTTTGTAGATTCATCTCTCGAGATTTGAGGGAACGTTTCGCCTGAAGTTTAGAGCTCTTACCTTCTTCTGGGTATGCCAAATATGTTATGATTATAGTGTCTATCTGGAACTGATTTTGGATCATCAAGGGATGTCGTAAGTTTTTGGTTCTTTGCGGGAATATAATAAAAGGGAAAATAATATTTCTAGGTAAGTATCTACGTAGGTAATCTAGATCCAATTTTTTATCCAACCAAGATTGATAAACTGGACAGGTATAGGTCATAACTTTACATTGTGTAATGATGTCACTCTGCTTGCCCATTCCAATATATTGTAATTATAATGCGTTCTTGAATGGTTATGAGGCACCCTACCCTGTCTTGGGCTCCAGGTAATTACCAATTGATATAAAATCGAGAAGACCTATTTTCACAATATCCCGACAGTCCCAGCGAACGTTTTTCAAATCTAGATTTTTATTCATGATAGTAGGAAAGTATCAGAACTCTTCAAAGAAATCCAAAGAAAATCCCAACAATCATCATTGTTAGTAACAGTTATCTGCAAGATTTCAAAATTTTGATCAGTGGCGTGGTAAATAGGTGGGGCTAGGGACATATCTTCCCCCAACCTTTGTTTTATGCCATTTTTGGCAGTTTGACCAGGAAATATGAAAATTTAATTATTTTTAGGTGAAAATTATACCCTCGTTTAGTTTCGATAGCACTCAATTTTCGTCTAAACATAATTTTTGGGTAAATTTGGTACCCTATCATAAGGAAAAAGCACTTTTTTTCCTGGTAAAACTGCCGAAAATTGCACATGTAAAAAAGTTGGAGGAAAAAATTTCCCTAGCCCCACCTATTTCCCACGCCCCTGATAAAAATTTCGGGCATGAAAAGTAATTTACATGTACAAAATTTCGTTGTCTCAACAGAGAGGGTTTCGGAATAAATTCCAGTGACCCAGCCAGAGGAATTCATTGTGGTCTCTGTTTTTAATTATTTCTGCATTATATTCTAGAGATATTTTGTTAACATCGCCAGAACTCAAGAACAAAGAATCAAGAACCATCAATAGTAAGTGGTACCTATAGTTTGAATTGAATTGGGTCCAATTTTAGGTTTCCTTGCTTTTGAAATCATGTCTTTTGCTCAACTGCTGCTGTCAACTCTTCGAAATTTTTTATTATTACCAGATTTTTCAAGAATTACTAATAAGTAACGGTTCTCTAAGACTTTCATAATCATCAAAATAGGAATGTTGTTCCAGATGGCATTTCACTGTCATAACTAACCCTGTTGCTGTCCTACCAACCCCAATTGAGAAGTCAAGTTAAGAAGATATTTCAATTTCTTATCCCAGATATTTGTTATTAGGTGTGGATTTTGAATTTTTGTTCATATCATTTTGGAAATATCAGTTTTTAATGAATAATGTTTCATCCACCATGAAAGGATTACCAAACATTGGCAGACTTCCCCAAAACTGCTTTATTGATAATGAAAGGACCCCGCACTAAACTATAGGGAAAATGACTCTCGATGAAAATCGCTGAATTTTTGGTATGTTGCAGACTTTTATATACTGAACAGATATTCCATTGAACGAACCTCAAAAAATGGACAGTTTTTCCGGTATAGACCTCCAAATGTCATTTTTTCGACAAAAAAAAGGATCTGAAAATGGTTGAATTTTTGGCATGTTGTATAGGAATGAACTGATGAAAAAGTCCAACTGACCTAACCTCCAAAAATTGACAGTTTTCTCGATATTGACCTCCTAATGTAATTTTTTCAAGTAAAAAGGTATTTGAAAATAGTTGAATTTTTGGTATGTTGTAGATAGGAATGAGCTGTTAAAAAAATCCAATTGACCTAACCACCAAAAATTGACAGTTTTCTCGATATTCGCGATAGAAAATAAGCGTACGATACCTATCGGAGTTCTTGAAAGCTGTCAGAGCGGCATGTTTACTTTGTTCTCATAATGTGCCTATTGGTCATATCATCGAAGCAAACCGAAGTGTTCAAGTGGCTGCCGTCAGGTGGGGCGACGTGTAATTTTCTATCGCGAATTGACCTATGGACCTATTGACGTATGGAAAATGAGATGAATGGAACAATAATCAATAGACAAAGTTGCTGTTTTCGAATTAGTATTTGGCATTCCATTCTTCTAAAAACAAATCTTCTTCATATGACACATCAACAGGTGAAGAAAACCGAAGAGGGGATGTAATTAAATAAATATTATTTAAAAGATGGTTATAGTCTTTCCGAAATCAATGGGGTTGTTGGTATACACTCTAGTCGAATTTATGCCATATATCTATTTTATTTTGATCATTCCATCTATTATGAAATTCGATACACCCCAAATATATTTTTTTAAACAATCACAATAATCACCTCTCACCAACACTATATAGCCGCCGATGACGTGACATGCCGATACCGATAAGCACTTTTAGATTTTTATTGCTCAACAACCAATGAGAATATTTCCGAATTCTTCATAGAATTAAGGATTTATTTCCACAGTAGGAGTGGAGTGTTGTGTACTGAAGTGTACACAATACATAATTGCAATGGATTGATCGCGGTATATGACGTCATCACGCGTTGTTCCACAATTTTCATGTTATGTAGTATTGTGAATTTCAATAATTATTTACGATATGTAAAGAGATCTGAAGAGAAAACGGTCTGCAACAGTGAACAAAAACTGTCAACTTTTGGAGGTTAGGTCAATTGGATTTTTTCATCAGTTCATTCCTATCTACAACATATACCAGAAATTCAGCCATTTTCAGAGATTTTTTTTCTCGAAAAAATTTCATTTGGAGGTCAATACTGAGGAATCTGTCAATTTTTGGAGGTTAGGTCAATTGGATTTTTTCATCAGTTCATTCCTATACTACATGCCAAAAATTCAACCATTTTCAGATACTTTTTTTTTGTCGAAAAAATGACATTTGGAGGTCTATATCGGGAAAACTGTTCATTTTTTGAGGTTCGTTCAATGGAATATCTGTTCAGTATATCAAAGTCTGCAACATACCAAATTCAGCGATTTTCATCGAGAGCCATTTTCCCTATAGTTTAGTGCGGGGTCCTTTCATCTACGTTGATCCTCTGTAAATTTGTTGACAACACACTGTTAGTCACTTTTACAGATAGGTAAAATAATTATTAATAAATAAATGTGGAATTGATAAGTGAATTGCAAGTGTTTATCATAATCACCGGTAGGTCAACAAACTTCCTAATGTATTTAGATGAGTGTAGTGAAGCAAAACAAAGGTCAGAAGGTGATTTGGTAATATTTGTGTATCATCTGTCCTTAAAGAAATGCATTCAGATACCATATCTACATGTTAAAATTCATTCATCAAGTTCAATGACATAGTATACAATAGTTTAATAAATATTTAGTATTACACAATTCCTGTTAGACGAAAGAGTATTATCATCACAAAAAAATACTTGACATTATTTTATTTCCCTGCTTGCATTTGGCGTTTATCTTTTAATTTTCGACTGCAAAACATTCCTTTTTTTAACAAAAATTAAACTAGATATTTCTAGTATAATGTTCAAGTACACTTTCAAGGATAGATTTGATATTGCAAATTTTATATTTCTTGAATGAGATGGTGCTTGTAATATTGAACTGATGTACTGACTTTCTTATTACTTGCATTTTAGTAGCATTCGATTCATTTAGATGAGAGCTGCATTTTCTTGAATGCAATTAGCTGTATTTTATCTTGTAAGATATACAAACGTAAAAAATATTCGCGTATGATAAATTACGTCCTTTAGGTAAAATTATTTATTCCATGTATAAATATTTTTCTAGGCAGCACATGTGAGAATGTGTAATGCTTTATTTTTTATTTTTTCGCTGTGTAGAACTGTGATAAGTAATATGCAGAAAATCGGAAGTGGCAATTATTTATAAACATTACTAAGCCTTCTTGTCATCAACTTAGTAGTAAATAATGTATATTGAAATACATGAATATTACTTCATTTATTCCATATGTTATCAACGTTCAATGTGTATTTCATAAAAGACTGTTTATATAGAATATCCTGACAGTCTTAGAAGCCACAATATTTGTGATATATTATTGAAATGCTCATCACATGTATAGCTCATGTATAATTTTCTTGAAGTTGCGATTTCCAGAAATCTCATTACTTAGGATGAATCATGAAACACAATTTTGGAAATTCCAACTCTTTATATTCATCCATGATATTGTTTAGTTATAGGTAAGTGCATACCAACGTCAAAGCAGATTTATAAAATAATATTTTGTTATATATTTTATCTTGTTTTTTTTTTATTTCTCTCGACTGATTTGATTGTCTTTTATAAATCTGTTTGAATGAAAAAAATACTGTAAATATTATGTTTCTATAACGAGAAATCACCTATTAAAAATAAATACAAAGTTACATTTTAACACTATTTTTCTTAATTCTTCCTAATTTTGTTCACATTCTCCATTTCCTTCAGCTTGATGAGCAGGAACTTGATTTGTTCCACGAGGGAACCTATAGTTCTGTCGATTTGTTCCAAGCGTTCTTGTTGACTGAAAATTATGACTCATATTGCATATGATTTCACGATGAAGCGGAAAAATATCACATGAAGATCAACCAAACTTTGGAAGGAAGGCCATTTCTCACCTGATGAAATCGTCTATCTTCACATAATTTTCTTTACTGTCGCCTTTCAGTATATTCTCTAGTTCTGACAATAGTTTCTCATTGTTCTGTACGTTCATTTCGGCAAGAGGGTCAATATTATACCTGGCAAAAAACATTTCGATTTCCAGATCACTGAAACCACATCTGAAAAGTAGGATCTTTTTATAACTGAAACTGTTGACATTTTAAATGTGAAACTCTTCACAAAGGATGAGATGTTTACCAAAAAAACACTACTATGTTTCACTAACATATTCGCTCTTAGGAGAAATATTTATACAATAAATTAACCCATCATTGACTTGCCTTATATACAGTTCTGAGTCAGTTTTTTGAAGCAGGACTTTAACAGCTTGATACAAACACATACTTTCAAGATGGTACAGCTATTTCACTTCAAGAACTGAAAATTTAGGTTTGATTACCTACTGAGTGGTGATACACTTTTGGAGGTTGTACCAAATTTAATCCTCTTGAAATATTTCAAATGTCCTCTGCTTTCAATGAAACATTAATTCAGATTCTCTCATTTAACTGGATACTTGTTTATCTTCTGTATGCTTTTAGAAGACCTAATGGATTTCGAGACGAATGCCAGAAAAATTTATTTGTAAACTTTATTTTTCCAGCATCACACCACAGATTAACAAGGTTTGTTAATCTGTGATCACACCTCCTGTATATCGATCGGAATGGGGGCTCTTATGCATATGTTTTCATCTCAAAAAACATAATATTTTTCAAGCTGTTGAAGTCCTCTGCTACAAAAAACGGACTCGTATATTTCTTGAAGTACCATGTTTGAATGATTCCAAATGATTTAGTTTAATTCCTTAATTTACTACACTTCAATAATCGAAAATTCAGAGATATTCAAACTGAACTGTGGAGTTTGTAATAAGGCATATATTGGTCAGACAAGTAGAACATTTAACCACCGTATTTACGAACATCATATGTTTTTTTTTTTTTAAAGAAGAGCATCATATATAGTTTTGATGCCAATTTCCAAATTTTTACAAGCAGAAAATGAAGTAAACTCAAATCATTTGGAATCATTAGAAATCAGCAAATGCAAAAAGAAACATGATGTTGTGTTTTCAAGATTTTCGGAGAAATTTCATGCTTCGTGAACTTTTTTAGATTTACTACGAATTTCCAATGAAAGAAAGGAAATCAATATCCTCTTACTTTTTCAGAGCATCTCTGATCTGCCGAATCGTTGCATTGATCTCGCTCTTGGTTTCCGGCATGCCCCGATATTTGAAACATCCGAATTTCCTGAAAAACCTCATGAATCCTCTTCGCAGGTACCCTGACATTTGCAGTTCATCGGGCGCAATGGCTATCTCGGTTTTCACGTCTGCATAGGTGTCGTTGATGATAGCCAAAAACATATTGAGGAGTACGAAAAATACGAGGAATATGTACGATAGGAAGTAGAAAGGTGCCAGGAGTCTGTTGGCTTGTTCTATTTCGTGGTAATCAAAATCGCCCAGTATGGTGCGAAGCAGCGTGAACATTGCGATACCAAAACTGCTGAAACTCTCCACTTGACTTCCGAAAATCAGATATCCAAGTTCAGTGTACGCGAAGAATATAATGAAAAACATCACGGAGAATCCTAAAATATCTGAGGCACACTAAAAATGGGCATTATTGAACAGTTTTGAAACAATGATTGTATCAGTTTACCTTTTTCAGAGTGTTATTCAGCTGACTCATCGTTTTGTTGAAGTTGAGGAACTTGAAAATTTTCATGTAAATAACAAATAGATCTACAGCAATAATATTATTGAACCACAACTTCAATATCGCCATGTATTCCAAATTACCGTACTCTTGCGGATGATTTTTTATATATTCGATTTCATCATTAATCCTCATAGTTTTTATCAGGGAAATCAAACCACTGATCAGAGTGAGCTGAAAAATACCAGTATCAGTCCATATAACTAAATCTCGAGTCTGGTACTGACAATTATTATAGAGAAATCAATCCAAGTCCAAAATGCCAGGAAATACCTGAGCTTGAAATATAACAGCTCTCTGAATTCATGAGCAATGTAAAATATAACAAATAGATAACAGCTCAGTTCACACACCAGTATAAACCAATCGAATTTGGTGTGGAACCTGAGCAACTTAACACTGCGAAAATCAGCAGTAGGAATCACCCCACCAGTAGTCGGAAATTCGAAAACCAATTTACAGATTGCAAAGAGATTCAAATTTGCATTGTAAACTGTGAAATCAACGAAGATCGCTCTGGTGCTCTTCGTCACCCACAGATTGTCTTTTAGTCCCATTAATATTGCTGAAGTTTCATTTTTGTTCGCCACTAGATCTTTGTAAAAACCTCCTCCACCATATGTTGAAATTTTACCGCTGTATGAAAGGCTTCTAGTTACTGATGACGAACTATATTCCCATCTAGAAATTAAAAAAAAAATGTAAATTGCTGCCGAAAATAATACCCGTTGAATTCAGAAATATGATTTACGTACGCAGTTCCATCAGCTAGTCCAAATGGTTTTTTATTTTCAGCTTTAGCAGAATATGAGTCATAGCAGCTCAGAAACAGTCTTCTGAAGTACTCATGAACAACACAGGAATCATTGCGTACCCTCACCTCAAAATTACAATTAACATTATATCATACGAGTTGTAATATTAGGTAATGTAATGGTATACAGGGTGTTTCATTACTAATTGGAAATATTTCAACCATAGAATCCCGAACTCAAAATATGAAGATTTAACCCAAATCACCTAGATAAAATATGTCTCCTGTCTGAGTTACAGGGTGTTTTATTCAAAAATTTTGAAATGTTTTTTTGCCCAGTTCTTCAAAACTATTTGACGTATCGCTTTCATATTAGAAGGGAAGTGTAGGTATCATACGCCCAACTGAATCATGTGAAATGAACTTTTTATTACCAGAGGCGTACGACAGGGGCAATTGACTGGTTGATCCCTCCCAAATTCTACGCCACTGGCGGAATTGCAATTCTATCGCAAATTTTCGATTCTCCAACAATTTTGACGTAGATTGTACTCTTCCTCCATGGCGATAAAGTCATTATTTTTCGAGATATTTCAAGTTAAACATAAATCTGCACAATCATTTTGATTTCAATGTGCATTAATTTTGTCAATATTTTGGATCAATGGATTGCATTTATCAATAAAATGAAACTCCAATCCATATTAACAATGAAAACATAATCAGACAGGAGCTGCTACCAGGGTGTTTAATTATTTAATATATCAAAAAATTTAAAACGCCCTGTAACAGCTCCCGTTTGTTATGTTTTTATTTTAATATGGATTGAAGTTCATTTGATTGATGAATGCAGTCCATTGATCCAAAATATCGACATTATTGATACACATTAAAATCAAAATAATTGTGCTGCTTCATGTTTGACTTGAAATATTTCGAAAAATAATGACTTTATCGCTATGAAGAAAGAAGAATATTTACGAAGAAGGTATTGGAGAATCGAAAAATTCTGATAAAAATGCAATTCCGCCAGTGGCGTAGAATCTGGGAAGGATCAACCAGTCACTTGCCCCTGTCGTACGCCTCTGGTAATACCTAGAAAAGTCCATTTCACCTAATTCAGTTGGATGTATAATACCTACACTTTCCTCCAAATATGAAAGTGATTCGTCAAATAGTTTTGAAGAACGGGGCAAAAAACCTTCAAAATTTTTTAATAAAACACCCTGTAACTCAGACAGGAGACATATTTTATCTAGGTGATTTGGGTTGAATCTTCATATTTTGAGTTCTGGATTCTATGGTTGAAATATTTCCAATTAGTAATGAAACACCCTGTATATAGGTACTAAACCTGTCTTATTCTTGGTACGCCTAGAACTCTGTTTTCGCCAAGGATGTTCATAGCGTTTTCATCAAAATCACCGATGTGATAAGTTGATTCCCAGAAGAGACTATTCACCATGTGACTTTCAGCAAACTGCAAGATATATTTGTCATAGAAATGAAAACTTTCGATTTGAATGAATTTCACGCACAAACCAGAAGTCTGCAGCAGTTTTAATATCTTCAAACATAATTTCTGCATCATTGACGGAACTGAATCCACGTTCAGTGAATTGTTGTTTCAAACCTCTGGTCAAGTAGTAAACTTTTGGATTGCGATTTCCAATTACATCTCAAAATTTATTAAACAATTGTATGGTTGTAATTTGATGATACTACAAAACTGATATTTCGTACGCAATCCAGTCTAAGGAGTGGTTAATATACATAATATACAGAGTGATTTGCACAAAAAACGGCCCTTGCTGTAACTTCTGAATCATTCGAGATCGGTTTTTGGAATTTGGTGGGGAGCAAGGTATACTCGCTATAATTGCTTATTTACAGACAAAGAATAATTTCTATCACTTCCGGTTCAACCGGAGCAATCTCCAACTTCTTAATTTTAAATGGAACACCCTGTATATTTTTTTCATATTTGGATTCAGGGGATCGTTTGACACACATAATAAAAACTGTTATGTTAAAAATGAGGAGATATGTAAGGTGTGCTATTTTAAAAAGGCAATTTGTTGTACTTGGTTTGCTCACCACCAAATTTCAAAATCCAACCTCGAATCATTCAGAAGTTACAGCACTAGCTGCGGTTTTTTTGCACTTCTCTGTAGTTATATAAAACATCAATCTGCTCGTTGATCCCGAACTCCCATTAATAACACTTACATATAGTCATCAAAGCAACAAAGCAGAAATAAATCATGAATTCAATCAACATAGTATTTAAAAGTTCTTCCCTATCCCTGTCTGTCTCTCGAGCTATAGCTGTGGTGATCCAAAATACTGAAAGAAAAATATCTTCATCCGGAAAGGGTACCTAATTTATAATGTCTCGCGGAATATATTGCTTACTTCTTTTCTTTCTGGTCTTCTGTTTATTGGTATTAGTCTCATCATTATTGGTTTCATCGCGTTCTTTCATTTTTTCTTTAGAATTATCTAACATGTTCATAATAAATAACTAATGTTCGGTTATATGATCATTATAGGAACCATATATTTGACTTGAGACCATTTCCATTACAATACATATATATAGGTTTACCTACATTTGAGGTACACTGGGTAAGTATTGATGAAAATATTTGAAAATAGAAAATATTTGAAAATACAATGATGAATGACGGTTCTGTGACAACTTCACTTCGAAAATAAACTTCAAATATGAAAGTTGTAGGATTTCATCTGAGCTATCTTATTTTTGGTACTCCTTGAATAAATAACAGATGCGATCGAAAAATAAAAAAACAAGAGTCCAAAAATCCTTTTTTTTACCTGTTTCTTTTCAACTTTGGTGAAAGATCTTCTTCTTCCCTTCACAAATACCATATATACAGGGTGTTTCTTAAGTACGTGTATAAAATTCAGGAACATGTTTCTGACGTCAGAATGAGAAGAAAAGTTCGTATAAACATATGTCCGAAAGTTATTCGTTTCCGAGATACAAAGTGTCAAAGTTGAATTCTACTAAATAATTCTAAAATACGTACAGGACAACGATTCATATTTTGACTGTTAGCTGTAAGACATTTACTGTCTGCACATTTTCGATTTCCTCCTTGACAAGTTTTTGTAAACACAGGATTATATTCGATCCTATTTCTCATTTTCCTCTTAAAATAATCGATTTTAAAATACCATACAAGTATGTCACTGTGGTAAATTATTTCTTGGTAATGGAAAGGGTTCGATCTCTTCACTACATATTGTATGTAAAATTCTTCCATATCGTAATAAGTGATTTTCGAAAAAAATAGCACCTGTATACAAAATATCTCCCCCTCCCCCCGTTGAATTTTATTATCATCATTAGTCATAGATAAATAATTTTTTGTTCGGAAATTAATCGGTTATCAGCATGACTCAACTTATTAGTCATTCATTCGGGACCAGGTGGTAAATCAAGACAGTCTTATATTAGATGTCATCACATACGGTCGAATTTTGTGATCGACATCGAAAAATACGCGAAAGTGCGAAAGGAATTATTTATCGTTCCAAACTGAGTGTTCCCTAAAAACTGAGTGATCGTATTGATTCGTATATAGTGTTTTTGTATTCCTCATTCGATTCAATAATAATAATATCGGGATTGTGTGTTGTTCTAGTGTTTCGTGTTGTTTCATCAAAGCCTCACTTTTTTCACGCTGGTGAGTGCAGAGAAATTTTCTCAATTTTTCCTCATATGTCTCTGTATTCATTTAACTTCATTACGCTATACAGGGTATGTTACAATCGACGAGCTTACACTATCTTTAAATCGAGAATCAGTCGGGAGAAATCCATGAAAATGTGCATATGATGCTTATATTTTGGTATACGCTCGTTTCATTTAAGATATGTTCGAAAATGCAGTGTTGCCACTTCTACTAGAAAGTAGTAGCAACATATTGATATTTCGAAAGGAACACCCTGTATTTTATCGCATTTTAAGATTTTCCCTGAAGAGCTGATTTCATCGATGTATCATACTTGGGATCTATCGAAAATGATTACAGAGATATACCTATAAGGCCTGTTCGTTTGTATTGCTAAACTGGCTAAAGTTGATCTTTTTCCCATATAATTTTCTCTGTTCATGCCATGATGGGAACAAAGAAAGTCATAGAAAAAAATCAAGTTCAGCAGGTTGAGCAAGTACAAACGAACAGGCCTATAGGGTGTTCAAAATCGATATTTTTCAACATTAGGATTTTTTGTGTCGAAAATATTCATTATCGATCAAAACGGCTCACATGTTCCTATCTCAACTTTTGTTTCATTATTCACTGATATTTAATCGGAACAGGTACAGGGTGGTTCAAGATTCAGAATTCTGATCACATGCATATTTTCATGGATTTCTCCCGACTGATTCTTGATATAGAGATAGTGTAAGCTCGTCGTAACATACCCTGTATGTTTCGTACCGTTTGTTGTATTCTCTCCGATCAAGGAATACTTCCTTCTGATTTTTGTGCTCCCTGTTCGAAACTGTATTTTTTAAGAATTTAACATCTTCAATAACTGTGATACAGAAGGTAATCTTGATTTTGGCAAAAAATCTTCATCTATGGTCAGGTCATATAACTTTTGAACCACTGTGTATAATCGATTCATACTTGGTAGGTATATTTCTCATCAAAACTAAATATGAATCGAATTTAGAATCCAGATCCGTCTTCAGGCAAAACAAAAAACTTCTTTTTTTTTCAACAGTGCGCATCCAATTTGAAAAATAGAATTTTCATTGAACTCGTTATTCAAAAAATCCAATTTTATTACAAAAAAAAAACAGTCCTCAAATTTCAATTTAATTAGAGCCGAATTAGGTAAACTATCGATGGATTTCGTTCCATTGAACAATTTGTCAATTATTTTAGATATTTTCGAATGCTCATTAATTTTCACATAGACAAATTAATTAAGTATTTTACACTCTTGAATTTCTGTACGTAGATTCATATTCCGAAATTATTCATTTCAGTATTGTCAGTAATTTTATATACATATATATATTATACGTCTCCGAAGTTTTTGTGATTGTTCAACACCGGAGTACTCTCATTTTCATTTCATTTATTTTTATATCTATCCATTTTGATTATTTTGTGTATAAATATTTTTCACTCTTGAATTTTTGTACCTACTTATAGTTTTATATTCCAAAATTATTAATCTTAGTATTTTCAATAATAGCTCGTCGAACGAAATTCATACTTTTTCACCACGTATATACAAGCAGCATTTGCTGCTTCTGTGGGTTTTCTAATGTTTATTTACCTAATGTTAACTTGCTATCATTATTTCTTCCATTGTATTCTGATTATGTCGAAATATAGTTATTTATTATACAAGGGAAAAAAGTTTTAGATTTTAGCTCCAGGTTGTGTTGTCTTCCGACGCGTAGAAATATTAGTTATTCAATAATTCATAAATTCTCAATTTTGTATTGGTTATATTCCTAATTAGACATAAAAATCAATTGTCTCAGAATATTCCCTCATCTGTTGCCGCTTATTGTTTATAATACATTCGTGTTAATATTAATATTATTATATGTATCAATTCACACTAGAGGATATTTTTTGAGGTTAAACGTGACAACCCGGCGCACGAATTGTGGGCGGTGCCTTGTCAGTTCTCAGCATTCAGCACATCGTTCTTAAGTCTTCAACATCAACATGATATTTTGTTATAGGGTACAATAAGAGATATACAGATATGCTGGTTGCTCGAAAAAGTCGAAAATGATCCATACAATAAATATCATGGCTCACTCTTATTATGTTTTATCTCGTGTTTTATCCAACGACAGGACTCTAACCTTTATGATAAATTGATTATAATTGGAGACCTAACAACGTTGCTTCATGAGTGGAAATGAAATATTATTTTTGCAGTATTGCAGTATCATTGCAGAGAAAAGTGTTGTTTATCTGCCTGCTTCGTCTTCATTGAGATAGTTGATGAATTGATGAATTACAAAAATATATCGCGTTTCAGTTACGAATGTTGAAAACAATATCCAGACTTTTCATAGATTTATAACCTATTCTATGTTGGTCTCACGATTCATATTTGAAACTGATCCTTAGTTTCAGATCCGAACAGTACATTGTTTGGCATGCAAGGTCCTTAATATAACCCACGTAATTGAAAATGTGGAAGATGCCTACTGAAAAACCACTATTCGGAAAAAAAGCGGAAATGTAGCAATCCAGTTACGGACGATGAAAATATCATTCAGGTATGTCTCAGCTTCAACATCCATGTAATTCATCTGATGATATTAATTTTATGATTTGAATGTACTTCGATTAATATGTGATGTTTAGTTGCAGATCCGAAAAGCAGTGTCGTTTGATACTTGCCACTCAATCGGAGAAAACCACCCAGTCAAGACGAACCGAACAGAAGATCCGCAAAGAGACCTGACCACAGTATACTTTACAGAATTCAGATCATTATATTCGTACGGAAGGCGATATATTGATCACCTTTCCAGATTCTCAAGCAGACAGATAGACAGATATTCAGCTTTATGTCTCTATGGAAACACGACAGGTACCCTTACGAGGGGAGAGTATCAACTCGGCGTTTATAAACCCTCTCTGCAAAGGAGGTAGGCGCATGGTGGGTTAGGTATATACAGTGTTCTTCATTGCAGAGAAAATTGTTGTTTATCTGCCTGTCTCGTCTTCATTGAGATAGTTTTGAATTACAAAAATATATCGCGTTCCAGTTACGAATGTTGAAAACAATATCCAATATTCTATGTAGGTCTCACGATTCAAATTTGAAATTGATCCTTAGTTTTAGATCCGAGCAGCACATCGTTTGGCCTTCAAGGTTAATATAACCCACGTACGTAATTGAAAATGTGGAAGATGCCTACTGGAAAAACCACTATACGAAAAGAAAGCGGATATGTAGCAATCTAGTAAAGGACGTTGAAAATATTATTCAGGTATGTCTCAGATTCAACATCTATGAATTTCCTCTAATGATATTTTATGATTCAAATGTACTTCGATTCAAATGTGATGTTTAGTTGCAGATCCGAAAAGCAGTGTTCGATACTTGCCACTCAATCGGAGAAAACCACCCAGTCAAGACGAACCGAACAGAAGATCAAAGAGACCTTACCAGAGTATACTCTACAGAATTCAGATCATTATATTCGTACGGAAGGCAATATATTGATATCCTTTCCAGATTCTCAAGAAAACAGATAAGACAGATATTCACCTTTATGTCTCTATGGAAACACGACAGGTACCCTTACGAGGGGAGAGTATCAACTCGGCGTTCATAAACCCTCTCTGCAAAGGAGGTAGGCGCATGGTGGGTTAGGTATATACAGTGTTCTTCATTGCAGAGAAAATTGTTGTTTATCTGCCTGTCTCGTCTTCATTGAGATTGTTTTGAATTACAAAAATATATCGCGTTCCAGTTACGAATGTTGAAAACAATATCCAATATTCTATATAGGATTCAAATTTGAAATTGATCCTTAGTTTTAGATCCGACCAGCACATCGTTTATTGGCCTTCAAGGTCCTTAATATAACCCACGTACATAATTGAAAAGGTGGAAGATGCCTATACTAGAAAAAACACTATTCGGAAAGAGAGCGGATATGTAGCAATCCAGTTACGGACGTTGAATATATTATTCAGGTATGTCTCAGATTCAACATCCATGTAATTCATCTAATGATATTTATATTTTCTGATATGAATGTACTTCGATTGATATGTGATGTTCTGTTGCAGATCAGAGAAAACCATCCAGTCCATACACGAACCAAACAGAAGATTCACAAAGTGAACTGACCAGAGTTTACTAATGGTGACTAGTTATGTTATATACTTGGGATATTTATGATTTGATAGTCTGACATTGATGTGACATTTTTATAATATAATTACAACTCAAAGTCTTATAATTAGTATCAATTGTATCCACAGTTTGGGGACCCCGACGTGATATTATGGAGCAGTTGAGCGAAGGCGAGGGCGAGATCATACAAATTTTTAGACATTTCAACATCCATGTTAGTGATTCGATGGAATTTTCGGATATGAAGGAAACGCTGACAGAGTAGGTACATTAAAAAAACTTATGAGGGCCAATTCCACGAAGCCGACTACAGAGGAGCATTCTTTCAGAGATTTCATCAAGAATCATACCAAATGATGTTTCGAATACTATTTTTACGAAGAAGATCTATAGACTTGAAGAATTGTGCGAAATTCTGATCGTTTTTGATGAAAATAATAAAAAATATGAATCGTTGGAAGGAAGACTCGATATTTTGGAAAAACATCGTGAGTGTTCAACATTTTCAGACAATATTATGCCTCATGACATCAAATCCTCAGAAGACACATCAACTGGGCATTCCAAGAAAGAGAATCAATTAAATCAATTAACCTACCAACTTTCTGGAAACATGAGCCTGCATTATGGTTTAATGTTGCATTTGGGAAAGTGATTTCAATGTTGGACTGCAATATTGCGCTCTGGGTTGGTTTTGTAGGTCTCTCTGTATATTTAATTTTTCCCTATAATATATCCATTCGTCTGAAACACACTGCATGTATTTTCTGAATATTCTTCGATAAGATTTTAATCTGCCGCTGGTTTTTCTACTCTTCCTGTAATAAATTATAATATATTCCATTTGGTACAAGATATTTGATCTGCCTCTGGAATTCAGCTCGCTCTGTATATGATATTTCTAATATCGGATTTAGTACTAAATCTAGTACATCTATCAAATTATAACTGGCAACGTTGTAGATGCATTATTCTGAAATAAGTGTTCTGTAGATTGACATGGAACTATGTAAAGTATGGAACGAAAACATCTGATTATCTGTCAGTTCTGACACATTCACCAAAAAATGAAAACAAGAAAGTGGTGAAATTTCACAAAAATTATGTTTAGTTTTTGTATGCAATTTAAATTAATTTGATAAATCAATTTTCTACCATGTGGAAATGCCATAAGTGCCACAAACCCGTATATTTCGGTAAGTTCTTTGTGGAATCATATATTCATTAAAAACATTCTTTTGTCTACTTGTAATCATTATTTGTATTTTGTGTATTATTTTAATTACCATCACTGGTCACTGCACTTTGAACATTATCTCAGCTGAACGGAAACAGTCTTTGGGCTACAACTGGCATCCCGAGTGTCTAAGATGTGAAGAATGTGGAAAACGTTTGAATCCTGGACAGCATGCAGAACACAAAGGTGTTCCCTATTGTCATGTGCCTTGTTATGGGGCTCTTTTTGGCCCTCAATTGTTTGGACATGGAACACGCGTTGAATCTCACAAGAGTTTTGGTGCCCAGAAGGATACATCAAAAACAAATAATGGCCCTGTTCTACCTAGGTCTCATTTGGAATCCAAAATAAAGGTTTGTCAAATATTGAATTTAATCTGCTTTCATTACTTGATGAAAACATTTTTGGTATTTTCTGGTATTAATGAATGTCATTGTTGGGTATTTTCCAAATCCCTGATTAGGTAGTTGAGTAGGTACTAAAATTAACAAGTGAGAATATTTGATTAGAATACCTTGCACATATTTTAGTTACCTGGTCATTCTGAATTGTTTCTCCTAATAAAATGTGCTCAATTAAATTACATGTTAATAGATTTCATAATATACCCTGATTAAACCATCTATCTGAAACACTTTTTTTTGGGAATTATTTTGTGAGAGGTTCACTGATTTTAATCCTTTAGGTTGGTAAAGTAGGATAGGTATAAAAAATTAGGTAAGTCAATGTGAGTTCAGTTTATTGAATATTATTTCACCTAAAGGAGCAACTGTGTTGTGAAACATGTCTTGTGATCAAGAATTTTGTGGAAGTCTTATAGTTTGAGAAGTTTTTTACATTATTTTTCTATCAACTTAACCTATTTTCTGTGGTTTATTTGAAAAATAACATATCACATGTACAAGTTATGTCTAAATGATGTTGAAATTCATGAGAATTTACCTGGAAGAAATCTTAATTTTATCCCTTTCTTTTGAACAAATAAAAACTGAAACAACTCCCTAAACTATACAGGGTGTCCCTCCGGGAACTGCATCAATCAATATATGGAGAACCATAGGTGGGCCGAATTTAAAAATTTGGGAGTTTACTATTGTTGATAAGTGCTATCCAGCTAAAATATTTTGAAGATTGTGGCACTTCCGGTTGAACCAGAAAAGGACCCCAAGTTCGTTATTTCAAATGGGACACCCTGTATATTATCAAGGTTTTAGATTTTACGCATGATTTTGAACATGTTTCATGTTTAATGTCCTATACCCAAGTCTAACTGTTTTGAATTATTTCAAATTTCGAGTTGAAAATTGCGTTTGCAGTTGGAAAAATATTTTTTTTTTATTTCTGGACATGTTCATTTATTTTCGATTGTGTATCGATTTATTCATAGGAGAAGACCCAATTCAGTAGAATTTTGATATCAATTCAATTACAATTATACAGGGCCTTCACCAGAACATGATATAGATCCGGTTGAAAAAATTATTGTAAGTCAATTTTTTCAAATGGAAACCCCCCAATTCTATATTCTCATTCGATTCAGCATGGAAAAACTTTGAATAAGGTTATCTATGCCTACACTCAACAGTTCTTGAAATTATAACATGTCTCAGTTCCAGATATAATCTCCTATTCTTGAGTTTACTTATTCTTAGTTGTCCATGGCGCCTGCAGTTGCGTTGGAAACAATCAACTGCCACGGCAATGTCATTGTAATCAATCATGCCGGCTCGTTTGAATTATTCGAATGAAGATTACTTAAATCTGCTTATATTGAAAAGTAGCAACAACTTTGATTTTTTAAATGGGACACCCTGTATATTATCCCATTTTCAACTTCTCCCTGAAGAGCTGATTTCACTGACCTATAACACTTGGGGTGTGAAAAATCGAGGTTTTTCAACTTTAAGATTTTTTTGTCTGGAAACTATTCATAATTGGACAAGAGATTTTCAACCACCCTGTATCTATTTCAATTAAATATCAATTGATAGTACATGAAAAGTTGAGATAGGGACATAGAAACCGTTTTGACTAACTATGAATAGTTTCCACACAAGAAATTGTTGAAGTTGAAAAATCTCGATTTTTCACACCCTATAATCGTTTCCGCTAGACACCAAGTGTAATAGATCGACGAAAGCAGCACTTTGAGACGAATCTGGAAATGGAATAATATATAGGGTGTCCCATTCAAAAAATCAGTGATGTTGTTACTTTTTAATATAAGCGGCAACGTCGCAGTGTTGAGAATATTTTAGGTCGATAGAACACAACTAATTATCCAAGAAACCAAATTTTCAGTATAATCCTACGTTGCGTTCTCCAAATACGTCTAATCTGCCATCCACCGTGAATCAGTCCTTATAAGTACCTATGTAACTGTATTTTGTGATAAATGTGAGTATTTTCAATATGATAATGGGGAAGACCACTTAGAGAAGAAATCCGTGCAAACCTCTTTCGATCGACGAATCATGATTTACGTTTGATGTACCATCAATATTATGAGTTGAAGTTGAAGGGTATCGAATCAATATCGTTTTGAAATCAGTATATTTCATTCGATATTTCAAACAGGCAAATATGTTGTTGGAGTTGTGACGTATTAGTCCCAAACTGTAGCAATCTCTCTCTGATACCTCGTCATTCTGCAGTGTTGCATTGTGATTGGTCAGTTCAAGGACAATAGGCGTGTTGGGAATGAGACGTCGCACCAGTCACACCAGAAGATTTTTGTTTATACACCTTGTATTGTAAAAATGTTTTTTTATTGAATAAATGGAATTGAAACGGTCACACCAATGAATTGACAATATTTCAAATGGCGCAGGAATTGTGTGTTTTGAAATGGACATATTCTAATTTATTATTTTCATCGTCTTAGCATGAATTACAAATTTCAAAATTAATTCGCTGGAAGAGTTCACGATAATGTCATTTTAAAAAATCAGTGGTCTCCCCCATTAGGAATATGATCATTTCTTTATTAGAATATTTGTTTTGTTTGTTACTATTCTGTTGGAAATAGGTTACTTTCCTATTTACTAAAATTACATAATAATAATATTTAATAATAATAATATTTATTAGCAGGTACAAGTTACAAGGTTTCTGAGATAATACTAATGTTATTTATGCTATAGTTATACAGTTGAAGTTTCAAGTTATCACAGACAACTAGGGCTATTCTTACATCTATTAATTAAACATCATCATAACAGACTAAGCATTTCATTATTGCTAATATTTTTAAGTGCACAATGGTATTTGTAATAATGTTTGACGTCATAGGTTTATTCTTTCATTATCTATTATCAAATAGATCTGAATTTTTGACAAGGTATATACTGATGGAATAAAAATCGAACTGGCAACCCTGGTTTGCACGGAGATTGAAATGACAAGAACTGTCATTTGCTGTTGTCAAATTAATTATTCCGAAATCCGATGGATTTCACATGTGAATAGGACCGTGATGTGGTTGTAAGTGTTTGAAGGTCGACGAAAAAATGTGATATGCACCTGGGCAAAAAACTGTCTATTGTCTCGCCTAATTGCTAGCCTCGGCTAAGGCCTCGGCTATCACTTTGCAGAGTCGACTATAATAGACAGTTCTTCATCCTTGGTACATAAATAACTATTCTCTCTTCTTTCAATAAATCATGGAAACACCTGCTGTACAAGAATTTTTATTGTAAAAATTATTGAAATGTCTGTCAAAATGATTACTCCTTCCACAAATTGTTGACTTATCATAACATTCAGTAGATCTTCTTCCTGAATTATAAAATTTGAAACGAAAAAGAATTCTCTATCAAAAAATTTCGCACAAAATAATATATTTCTAATACAGTTAGGTAAATTATCAAATTCTGTGCAATTTTTTTCTATATCAGTATATTAGTATATTAGTATTAACCTCTTTTGGCCTGTCTCTCCTACACTGATTGGTTTGTATGGGCCTCGGCATGGGCAGCTTAATTCCCCGAATTACTTTTATCTCTTCCATCCAAGTTTTTTGAGGTAGGTACCTACTGTTATCCCATTCCCTATTCCTATCAGTTTCATCAATTTCTTTTTCTTTCTGAACATTATCATCTCCTTATTCTTTTCTTTTTCCCATTCCCAAGTTTCCTCTCTGTTGCATAAGTGCGGAGCTTTTGTAAATTAAATATAGTAGCGCAGGTGCGGACCATTAGTAAAAACTATTATTATTAATTATAATATTATATAATATTATTATTAATGGAAAACAGTATGTTCTCGTTTTTGTAATTCGGCTATTCATTGGATACTCGGTATATAGGAAGTCCCGCCAACAGAGGCCAGCCTTTTTATATATCGTTACCATAGTTCAATAGTGTGTAGTTTCGAGAAAATCGCTATTGAAAATTCAGCTCGTAATAATTTGAATCTGCTTTTGTAGATTATGTCCGAAGAATATAAGATAATAGTCCTGCCATAGTAGTTTTCTATTTACTTCCTTAAATCAACACATTAAAAAAAAACGTTCGGTGGAAAATGATTTTGTTCGGGCTTGTTACACTATTGATCTGAATTATATAATTGATAATATAAGGTTCTGTGATCAAAAATCATCATCATTATTAGATGAGTAAGTACAATAACTACAATCACTACAGGAACAATGATATAACATAGTATTATAAGTTCGTTTTGAGTGTTGAAATCAAACATTTTGAGCTATGCAATTTGTTACATTGAATCACTGAAAATATTTTACAGTTCTGTAGAGTAACTAGCACCATCTCTTGGTCAGTACTGGAACTTTCAGTTGTTACAGTATATCACGTGAAAGCTAACAAAATGGTGAATCAGATATAGTCTATTGGCTACCTAAGATTTTGGTATAATTTGGGGCACCAATTTTCCTTCATACGACAGTTATATAGGTATATAAAAATATCTAAAAACTATGATTGCCACCTCGAAGTGGTAGCTTATAAAAATGGCGGCCAATACAAAATGGCAGATGTTGACTTCATAGAAACAATCGTATCTCTGAAAATAATGATCCGATTTCAATTTTCTTGGGCTCAAATAAAAGCTCTCATTGTACTCTATTTTTGAATTTCTCTAGAGACTTTTGATATTCGCAGCCGTTAATTGATAAAACAAGAATAAATGTTTTTTATACTTCAAAATAATTGATTCATTGAGAGCTACTCAAAAACGATGAGATACCTGGAAAAAATATGTTCAAATCAATATATTAGTCTAGGCAATTATTTATATTGTCATAGGCTACTATATAGTAGGGATGCTGACATGACATTTTTCTTGACAGACTCAATCATTTCATCAACATTATCTCCTAGGTACTCGACTAATTTTGAGAGCAGAAAACGAAGAGATTGAACCCTTGGGCTGGAGAATATATCATTTCGTATTAAATTATATAATTTCTTGTATGCCTCTTTTTCTGCTTCAATATTTTCAAGCTCAGCAGGTCTTATCCGTGTATAGTTGAGATAACAAGATTTATGATAATACGCCTCTGCATCTGCAATATCTCTTGATGTTATTCCTATGATCATTTTATCGCCCCCCTCAATAGCGATTTCACGCAATTTTCCATCATTTCTTGGCTCTGCAACTTGAGTAAGTGTTTCTCTGGTCCTGCTGCATTTTTTATATTTGCTCTCTTCTTCACAAAAAACACAATTTTTGTTATATGTCGCATATTTTCCGCTACTATCCCGTTTCAAACGTTTCTCAACCTGACTAGATGAACAGGGAGTTTCGGATGGCTCAGGTAAGTCCTGGGACGATGTAGCTTCTGCCTTCAATTGACTTATATAGCGTATACAACTCAAAATGGTTATTTATAATAGCCACGGCCGATTGAAATTGAACAGGACACCCTGTACCTTTCGCAGGTCTACAACAACTTTTTCGAAGGCAAAAGCGGCGAGATCCGCTGCCGCGAGGTGAACGGCCGTTTCATCCTCGAGGGCCCCCTTCGCATCCATTGGGGCGTCCACGGGGTGATCCATCTCAAGGAGAACGACGACCAGAGGACAGTCGTCACCGTCCGGAAGCGGAACTCCTACCGATCGCCCAGCCCGGACTACGATACCGACGAAGACATCCAGAACATATCCAGGGACACCAGGTTAGGGTTGGGACCTCAGACTAAATAACATTAACTACGCAACGCTAATTTCGTCGCACCCCAAAATTATGCCTCTGTTGAAATATGAATACATTTTTTCTCCTTTGAATGATTTGAAATCGGATCACACTGTTCGCTAGCCCAGTCCTTCAGCTATAATCTCGTAATTCTTTAAAACATAAGGTTCTTCACATAAAATCGCTACAGGCTGTCACCTGAAACTATGCATAATTTCGGAAATCTCAAGAGTTTCCCAAATGAAGAAAACATTTTTTTTTCAACTTTGACAGTAGATGAAACGACCTGGGTGACGAATCGATTTGAAGACGAGCAAAATTTGTGAGGTACTCATTAAAATCCACTTCTTATAACAGCAGATCAGAATGAAACTATATTTTAGGTCCATTTTCAAACAGAAGTTTTCAAAATTTGTTTGAGAGAATCTGCTGTTCCATCAATATACAAAGGAGACGATTTCAAGAACAAAATTCCATTATTATATCATCACACAAAATACAAAACAAAATAATCATGGAGAAAGAGGAATTGATCGCAAAATTACATAATACAAAGTGGAACAAGATTGTTGTATCTGCTTAGATGAAATGGCTATAACTCCTGGAGAAGCATATTGTATGTCTACTTCTCAAACATAAGGGTTCAAAGCTATTCATAATCCTCGTGAAAATGCTACTCATGTTAAGGGGGATTACATCAAGATGGAAACAAATCATTGCATATCATTTTACCAGGAATAAAATTATCGGTTGGAAGATATTTACAATTTTCTATATCGATCCATGTTACTTAGCTCCTAGGGCGCTAAGTGAAGTTGCTGAGAACTTTATAAAACCAAGTATGTGGTAGGTCTCATCGTCAAAATTAACTACTTTTCTCCAATGAAATGTTTATCGAAAAATGATTTGTATTTCAACACCCTGTATCTCCGAAATGAAGCAGTTCCGGACACAAGCTTATATAGACTTTATTTCTCAAAATTGTCTCAGGAATACTTCACTTGAACGTACTTATGTTACTTCCAGTATATTGAGAATAATTTAATATACTTGTTTTATACTTATCACTGGAGTACAGTTTCACATACAATAAGGAATTATAGCTATAATTTTATCCATATGTGTATGTTTTCTAATATTAAAATGTTGTTACATGCTTTCTTTTCATTTATATAACTGTTGTTCTGCTAGAAGTGTATCACACTTTAAATTGAAGTGGGTGTTTATACCTTATTTCTATTGTCCATCTATGGCTATGATTGACTGACGATCAGGCGCTACTAGGGAAATTGAAAAGACATAGAGCAGAATATATGTCTTAATCTTTTATTCACTCAAACCATGGGTTGCGTGCAAGAACTGTCAGATGACTGACCCTGGAGGCACAACATTGAAACACAACCTAACGTTTCCTTTTTGTTTACAAGTGATTGAAATAGTTCTTCATAATTAGTTTGGTATACGAATCGTATTTTTCGGCTATTTATTAATTTGTGCTGTTGTACAATGCACAAAAACTGCTGCGGAAGACGAAGGAATCCGGTTGGTACATTATGATTTAAAAGTAAGTACCTACTATAGTCACTCACATACTAAGTTTTCATTTTTGAAATTTTGTAATTTCTCTGATTTCCCATCGAAATTCCATCTGCAATAAGACCTAATAGAAATACTCGTGAGATTTCTAAAATAATGCAAGAAGATTGGATTCATGCAATCAAACGGGAGGACTGGTCTGACATGCTGACAAAATATTATCGTGTGTGTTGTAGACATTTTCAATCTATTAGCAGTATTAGCTTGTATTGCAGAAGTGGCAGAAGGAATTTTAATAAGGAATGACAACATTTCATAATGAAAACTATGTGAGATTACTATTTACCTGAAAAATCATATTCCTCCGTCTCTCGCTGCATTTTTTGTGCATTGTACAACAGCACAATGCGAAGGCATGCTTGAATTAATGAATAGAGCAAAAAACACGATTTGTATGCCAAAATATTGTGAAAAACTATTTCAATCCTTTGATTCCTCTGTAAACAAATTGATAAAGTGAGGTTGTGTTTCAATGATTCACAGAAGAGTGATGTTGTGTTTCAATATTTTGCCTCCAGGGTCGGTCATCGTGCACGTGCGCGACCTATTGTATTATAGAAAATAGAGAAGGACAAAAGTTCAGCTGTGTCCGAAATCTTATCATGTGTCACTGGATGGTAATAATCCAGTGACACTAGGGTTTCAGAGCCGATTTAATCAAGCATGTGAAACCCAACGTTTGGGCTTTTTGGCAGTTAATGTGTTTTAAGAAATATCATTTCATACTGAAAGTAAAATTTTCCCAAAACTACACCAGCTGCAACGACATATCCACGGATGCCAGCTGCAACGACATCTCCACCTGCTCGGACGAGCCCACCAGCAAGTCGGAGAGCGGCATTTCGAGCAGCGCTGACACCAGTCTGAGCCTAACCGAAACCCCCAACTCGCCTCATATCCCCCTGCCGAAAAGCGTTACTTTGCCGTCCAAATTGGACGTGAAGAATATGGAGTGGGACGAGTTGGACGAGCTGTTGCAGGTAGAGAGGAGGATCGACGTTACCGAGAACGTTTATCAGACTATGCCTGTCACTTTGCCCTCGCAAATCAGCACGGAGAGCAATAGTTGTTCAACCTACAGCAATAGTGGAAGTACGAAGACAGAAAGGTAAGTAACACTGTACTTTCAAGAAATAACAGGTAAATACGGGTTGTTTGTGTCAAGTCTCTGGTTTGACCTGACAATCAGTCTGACCAATCAACTGTTTGGGAATATCGGTCACGTTTCAAACCTGCCCACAAAGTTACCACGTTAACTTTTGATGGGAGCCAAGTCAACCATTGACCATCATGGTATCACCACTGTGGTCGAACGAATGTCTTGACACAGCCCAAATGTTTTCCTGTTGTGCATTGTGAAAGATGAAAAAGATTGAATCTGAATCTGATCTGAATACCTGCCTACTCTAATGTATCTTTATCAACAAAGCAGTTGGGATCTTTTGATTATACGATGAAGTGATATCTATACTGATATTATAAAGAGGTACGATTTGATTGTTTGTTAGTTTGTTTGTATTGAATAGGCTTCGAAACTATTGGACCGATTTGAAAAATTCTTTCACGATTAGAAGTCGACTTTATTTCTGATGAACAGGCTACTTTTTACCGCTGGAAAATGCTTCATTCCTACTGGAAAACGGGTAATAGGACAACGGGTAGTAAAAATTATCCGTCTGTGCTTACCTCTTTCACATAACTTATAAACGGCTGAACCGATTGGTTTGATATTTTATATGGGTATTTCGATGGTTTCCTGGATGATTTAAGAATACAATTAGACGCGGTAGGTGGCGCTGCTGTCGGTACGTCAACTACTAAACGGCTTGACCGATTGGGTTGAAATTATTGATATGTAAAACAACAAAAAATACTAAAGATAGGTACTGAGAGAAAGAAAATATGTGTAAGTATATTATAGTAGCCATAGGTAAGCACAAACATTGAAAAAAAAAAGTGTACTGTAGATACGCGCATAGCTCAGAAAGACTGCAACAAATGTATTTTTTAATGGGTACACCAACCGTGCTCATAAGATTTACACTGGAGAATATATGATACAATCGTTAGCCGAGATATCGTTACGATAATGTGAACTTCAGTAGTTTCTATGCAACCTGGCTTAGGATATCAATCTTCAATCTTGAGTTACTTGTTAAATATTCAATGTTTGGGATTGCAATGATATAAAATGATTGGAAATCCTTGAAAATCAGATTCGACCGAGACACATTTTGGTCAATGCTTTGGTGAACAGGAGAAAATGAGTGAGAGAAACAATGATAGTTTTCTGTACATACTAAGTTTTTTCTTGGTCTTCTTTTTTTTTGAACCCAACATGTCGAGATATTTCTTATTTTCTATAACAAAATTTCATGTAAATGTTGGAGACTTGGCAACATTGTGCTGAATGTTGAGAACTAACCAGACCACGCCCACAATTCGTGCGCTGTTGTCATGTTCACCTATTCAAATGTCCTCTAGTGCGAATAAATATAATTATTATTTACACAAATTTAGTTTAAGCAATAAATTACAAACCATAAGGGAACATTTTGGGACAATTGGATTTTTATTGCTAATTAGGAATATTACCACAACTCAATTGAGAAATTATGAATTATTGAATAACTAATATTTCTGAAGTTCCCAATCGTATTTCAACACATAGCAACTGTGCTATGGTCTGCCCCTACTTACGAAATCGTGGCGTCAGTTTTCACAGGCGGTAAATGTCTAGCCGTTTGAAAATTGGCGTGGCATTATTGATGATTTAAGCACCTAAAAATAGACCGAAAAAAAAATTGATAGGTATTTGAGTGATGATTCTATTTAAGAAATAACGAATCCGAATCACTATCAGGCAAACCATCAATACAGCAATCTCAAAATTTGTATTCTTTATTTTCTATTTTCCAGTTTGTCGGAATTAACCAGTATCATCACATCAACCGACGAATCCACCCTACGTGCCCCAATCATCACCAACGGAACCAGCGAAGAAAAACAACCGCTCCTATCCACCTCCACCTCTAAAGACGAAACCACTTCCACAACCAAGACTGTCTCCAACAAAATCGATTCATTTTCCAGTAGAGACGAGACCCTCAAAGGCGACAGTTGGGCTTCGCAGGGCGCTTACTTGAATCACCTGAATCGATCCATGTCGGGGCCGGATTGTTTGGGCAGAGTCAGGGATCCGCACTCTCCTGAATTTGATAGTCTCAGCATAACTAGTGCTGATGCATCCACTGTGTCTGAACAGGCTGAGGAGGTGGTACTACGTAGGCCACACAAAGGTTTGATTGATCAATTTATTGTTGTTGGACTAGGAAGTGAAAGGGGTAAACTGTGGGAATTTCATGCAACAAAGTCAGCTTTCAAATCTCTCCCTATCCCTATCATTCAGAAGTTTCATAGTCCTAAGGAATTCAAACAAACTCAACAGACATCAATTGAATACAAAATGATTCCAAGGACATCTTGCCGTGCTGGATTGTCTGGGAAGAGTCAGGGATCTGCACTCTCCCATAGTGGAAGGAGATGAAGATGGTGTGCTCAACAGAAAGCTCAAACTCGTCTTGTTCTGCGCATGATGTCAGCTGGGATATAACTGTCATTGTTATTGTTTTCGTGATTGATGTCTCGAACTTCAGATATTATCAGATATTATATAAGTACTAAAATTGAATGAAGTATTTTCGAGATGCCTACTAGTTTCGTTTCTGGTTATGGAAATTCCAACTAACATACTGAAGGCACAGTTATTGAATTTTTCTGCTTTTCCAAGAATGGAGACCTAATGAAACGATGGGAGCTTGCTGCCGACAGAATATAAACTCAAATAGTGGTACCTACCTTATATTCCTTATATCCTCATTCCAAAGTATTCACCTATCATATTATCATCACATTCATATTACAGCACGTATTTCTTCAAAACATAACAGTGGCCAGGTAGCCGTGCGGACAGAGTGTCTATATTCTAATCCGCATTCGCTTGCCGGTCGTGGGTTCGATTCCCATCGACTACAGAAATTTTCCTGATGGCCCAAGAAAGTGTTTGGGATCACACGTTAAAAGGTAAGGCCTCCGACTTTCGAAGACTTCTGAGGGTTGCTCGTAAGGGGGCAACCGAATGACGGATAGAACAATTTTAGAACAATTTTAGAACAATTTCCATGCAAAATGTTCCCAAACGAGTGCGAAAGTACAGTTCTTGAATTACACACCTCCAAAAAATCACAAATATTTGAAACAAGATGCCATCCCTATAGAACATCTTCCGAATATCAAGTCAGAAATAATTGAAAATGAATTCAAAACTCTTAATTTCTCACAAAATATAAATTGCAGCAAAGATTTGAATAACAAAACGGTAAAAATTGATACTCCTGTTGTCGATGTCGGAGCAGAAGCAACGTCAACGTCGTTAACTGCTGAATTTTAATCTGTCAGAATCGATACAGTAGTGGATCATTCAGATGGGATTGGCAATGCAATTCGTATGTATTTGCTATTTGCGATTGCGAATTACCTCAAGATCACAATTTCCAGAATCAATAGTAAAATCAAAGGAATAGGTACCTGTTTATATAAATTGAATTATTTCTAAACAGATCGAGATACTTACAGAAATTTCTATAAATATGATTGAATTCATTGCGCACGCCCATGGCAACGGTGTCTGTCTGTGACTAGCATACTGATATTGGTATCTCAGATGACGTCACATAATATGCGCGTAGGCACACCATCTTCTCCTTCCACTATGCACTCTCCTGAGTTTGACAGTCTCAGCATAACTAGTACTGATGCGTCCACCGTGTTTGATTGGTCAATTGAGTTCTTTTCTACCTTAACGAGAAAGACGAAAGTTCTCCTCAGTTTTAATCTTCTCCTGAAGATGCTAACATAGCGACACACGTGTGTAGTGTAGGTTGTACTGTGCTCAATTTATTTTTGTTGAAAAAGGAAATGAAAGGGATAAACTGCAGGAATTCCATACATCAAAAAAAAAAAAAGATTAGGAACCACTGAGCTGGATTACTTGCCATCTTAATTAACCTCGAATTCTGATGACATCACTTCAATATATTATAATATGTAAAAATATGTTACAATCCAGTTTATAAGGAAACATGAACAAGTAAGTTTTAACTGTCTTGCGCAGTCCATATCCATGACATTGTTGAAATCAGTTAATCTGAGAGTGATGAATGTTAACAAGTACTTATCTAAATAAGCTGAAGAATCGAATAAGATGCTGTTTATCTCACTGAATCTGAATAGTGAATTATTTGGGAATTTTATATTTCTGAAAAATTTCAAAAAATATATTTGACATTGCTGGAATTCTTGAAAATTTTTAATAATCCCAATAAATTCCAAAGGATTCTGTTGGATTCCATGTAATTTTGAGGAATTTGATAGAATATAAGATGATTCCAAGGAATTCCTTGAGGTTTTTCTGAATATCTTGTACGGATCCATCATTATGTAGGCTTTCTATTCTGGCCCGTTTGCACCCACCTCTGCTGGAATTATTTCAGTCATGAAGGTAACTGATTTAGCGAGCGAAAGAGGCCAACATTCTAACCGATATTTTTCTTATAATTCCTTCCGAGAAAGCCCGATTAATTGTATACATAACTATCAACGTAGTTCACCCTATTTCACGAGGAAAATAATCGACGTTCAATTGTTTTTGCAGGTTCAACGGCAATAAAGAGGAGAACTGGAAAAAGACTGTCGAGAAGTAAGGTTAAGAGAAGGTGTTCTATCAACGGCCATTTCTATGACAGAGAAACTAGTTTTTTCACCCCTCCTCACGGCAGTCAAATGAGCGTGTGGGTGACATCTCTAGTGAACACCAGTGATGTCATAAATCTGATACTCGAAAAATACAAAGTCGAAAGCGATCCACAGAATTTTGCTCTGTTCGTTGTCAGAGATAACGGAGGTAATCATCGTTTTTGAATGCTTTTGAAATTTTCGAATTGAGAACTTATTATTTATACAGGGTGCTACAAATTCGTTGCTGAGTATGAGCATCCAGTACATTGATGTAAGATAACTGCTGGTGTGCCCACTCCTCAATTGTTTGTTCAGATTCCTGATATAAACTATTGAATTTGATATCAATATGCAGGATTCTTAATGAGATTTGTCAAATGCGCTTCGAATCTTGTAAAGTTGAGCCAACTTTTGCGGCAAAATTTATGATTTGATGACATATTGACTCGTCATCTGTCACGAGTTTCAAGTCTTCGTCTTTTTGTGAATTATTGTCATCGGTGTTGATTAAAACATTGTCGTTCTGAATAAAAACAAACCTAGTTGGTAGGAGAAAGGTATAAATATTGTCTATTCAATGACGCTGGTTTACTTGAAACATGGATAGCTCATTTGTTTCAATAGATTTTTCGCGGCCGACTGTTTTTTGGCAAGTTCTTACATGGTATCCCTTCTTCACAATCTTTAATTGTACGATATATTGTCGATTTACTTATGTTCTGATCTTGAAAAATGTCGACAATCTCTCGTTTCGTCATTCGCCCAACGAGATTATAAATACTTCGACGAAGATCAATTTTATAAGACATTTTGGTAAGCGCAAACCAACAACTTTTGCATTGCTTATTTAGAAGACAAGACGGGTGACATTTGATTACCACGCCTGCTTAATTAAATGCATTTTGTCACTCAATCAAACCAGGTGAATTTTTTCCCCAAAACTTTCGGACCATACGTTATTGCGAATTCCCCAAATACTGATGCGGCATTTTGTTGAGCAAGCAACGCTGCCATTTTATCCAAATTGAACTGACCCTGTATTCCCTGAAAATTTTGGAAATTCGTTATTGAATTTTCAGAGCAGCGTAGATTGAAAGACGAGGAATATCCGCTTCTAGCTCGCGTTCTACTGGGTCCTCACGAGGACGTGGTCAAAGTGTATCTGATGGACAGCCACAGCACTCCCGAAGTCAGTAGCGAAGTGGCGCAGTTTTTGAATCTGTCACTTGTAGAATGCCGGGCCATACTAGGCCAGTATTATTCTCAAGAGGAAAAGGAAGTGGCTCGAATAAAAGAGAAGTAAGTTTGAACATTTTTTTGAGTGTTTGGCTTTAACTTTCATTTTTCATCTCTAGGTATGAAGAAATGAAATATCGAATTTTACATAGGATGAAACAATTGAAAGCTACTTCATGAATTTTTATCGTATTTTTTGTCTTTACATGAATTTTAGTTGAGTATTTAACATCACTTTTAATATAATTGCTTGGTCTTGTTTTTTAAAATTGATATATGTTTGACTTTTTATACTTTATACTGTTATATTTTTGACTTTTTTAATACTGTTTGTGCTGTTAGTTGTTTTTAGTAACGTATCAAATACGTCTATTTTAATTGCATTTTATTTCAGTAATTTCAATGTCCTTATTGTCCTTTATATATTATCTGTTCTAGTTTACTAGGTGATTAAAGACTGTAACTAATTAGACAACAATGAGGAGATATCAGAGTAAACAAAATTAAAATTATACCTAATTGATTAATATTATAGTTGTTTCATTCTCGAAAGACAAACATTTTCAATTGAAAGGCTTCTAAAAAACATCTTGAATAAAATTTCTGGATGTCACACAGTCGACATTCGGGAGTGTATTTACTCTTAGTGAAATATAAATACGTGAAAGTATTTTTGGGTTACTTTGAGGAGAATGTGAAAACGGAAACTCTGGTTTGAAAGCTGATTACCGATAAAAAATTCATAAAAACATGATTCGACAAGTTCGATGAAAAACATAGCAGAGTGTTTAGCTAGCCAGTGCCACCTGCAACTACCATGCGCTAGTCCAGTGTGCAGTGATAGCGGATTGATGACGCATGACCGCCCCTATTAGCAGGAAATTGTGATTAATACTGACTTATGCTGCAGTACATTGAACTTCATTTGGCGAGGACAACACAGACTACCCTGAAATAAAATATGTTTGTAGAATAGAGAAAAGTACGTTCTTATCGACTCACTCTGTGTAGGCGCTGTGTTAACCTGCAACCTGCCCTATTTATAATAATCCTACTATAATGAAAACCCAGGATGAACTACTTCCATTAACCGAAATCATTCCAATAAAATTTCACTCTGGGATCTGATTGACATGTCAGTCCAAAGCTTTGTTGTTAATTATTCTATTGATTATGCAAATATTCCAGATGTGCACAAATTTACATTTCAAATGAAGAACAACATTATTGTGTACCCAGCGGTGGAATGCAGTGGCGGCTCGTGATCCTTTCAATATGAATGAGAAGTGTGAATGTGATATTCCACAAAAAAAACCTACTACCTACCTTATATGGTTCTTGTTCATAGAAAAGAGTCGCTGATATCGTCATATATTTGTAATAGCCATTGGACCAGATAACAGCAATCACCTATACTTACCACAAAAAAATACAGAAATGGTGTAAGCACACATATTTCAGTATCAGAAACGTTTCAAAAATGTCTTACGGATATCTGAAACCTTTCCACTTAAGCCTCTCTGAAGTGTCAGAAACGTTCCAGAGAAGGTAAATGTCCTACATCAGTGAAGTTTCATGGAACCTTTCAACAACATCATCCCAGACACGTTCCAAGACAACCGTTCTAGGCACGTTCCAACAACACTGTCTTGGATGCGTTAAAAAAACTGTCCTGGACACGTTTCATAATGGTTTCCAATTTTGTATAGTTTTATGAACTCATCAAAGAAAGTGGATACATAGACAGTAGAAACAGACAAATTTGTTAGGTACTACTTATTCTTATTTTTCAAACAGTAGGCAATTACCTATCACACAGATGTGAGAAATACAAAACACAAATAGTCTAATCAAGTCCACACTAGCCCAACATATCCTAATTATTGTAAAGCCAACCAATATAATTCGATTGCCGAAAGGATGGATCCTACCTTTTATGTAAACAGCTTCTCATGATGGTAATCCGTGCCGTTCACCAATATCATCCACATTTCCTTCGGATTTGGAATCTCTTTGTGAATCCTGATGACTCCTTTTGGCTCCTCAAAACTAAGCAACTGGATACGATGGATCACAAAGTAACTATCAGGTTTAAAACACTTACATTCTGAAATCAGATTGGCGATTGAGTGTTGTTGAGCTCACGCTCATCTCACGCTGTCTAAGCTATCATCGACTCTCGTCTCGTTTCAGTCCTCTCCCTCTGACCTTGTACTGTCTTGAAACGATACCGATCCTTTGCCTTTCCGCATTTACACCCGTGTCCCGAATCCATCACAACTTTCCTTAGCAACAAGAAATTCGACATACGAGATACATATATCACTCGCTCTCATCTACATTTTGAGGCGGGATACCAAAGTGTAGGCATAAACAATATTGAAAATTGAAAGCGTTGAAGTAAAATATGATTATGAGTACAGTTTAACCTGACTTATTGATTACGTGATCAGGTACATACTTGATGGCTTTTAGTTTTTATTCAATGTTCAATGGTAATAGTGAGTAAATAAGTGAATAGTAAGTTTAGCGTTAAGTCATACGACACTATATACTGTTTTTACGGCTGTAACAGATAACGACATTTTTTATTTCTTCGGCTTGTAGCCATCTGGTTTTCTCTTAAGTAATGCTCATCTATTAGATAAAGCTGTTATTGCTTGAAATTCGACATTTTATGTGAGATGAGATTTTGTGAAATAACACAAAACACATTGATGTAATTTGTGATATCAGATACGGAATTAAATTGATGACTTACAAAACGAGGACGATAGAAAAAAACGGTTTCAGTGCCTATAACGATGTAACAATATGGAGAAAGCGATCACCAATAAGTTTGCTTTCAATTTTCAAATAAAAATGTCAACAACCTTCAACTTCAGAGCTAGTCTTCTCAGATGATTTCCGATGAAATAATATAAAATAATACAATGGAAAGAAAGTTATGTTTATGGTGAATAGGCGAGTTATCAGCTGAAGCGGTTTTTCATCTTAACCTTAATCATATATCAATAATAATACTGACAATATCAATGATGATAACAATAATAATAATCATATAATAATAATAACACTTCAAAAGACCTAGGTTCAGCTACAATCATTCAATCCTGAGAGTACAAATAAGCACAGTCTCATAGCTAAAATTAGTATTCCTAGTTTGCTTCCTTGTTTTTTAAAATCCCTTTATCCATAGATGTTTGATATTTCTTTTATCTCAAAATTGACAGACCAATGCCTAGTCTTTCAAGCGGGTTTTCATATGACTTATTTAACCATTAAAATCAAACAGTACCTATAATGTGTTTAATAATTTGTATCAATCAGTCCGTAATTAATCGATCATTTAGCATGGTACATATCCGTTCGCTAAATATCATTTTACTTCAATCTGAGTAAACATATTATATTTCAGATCTCTTGAAACAAGAAACTCAACCATTAAACTCATTGACAAGAAGAGATAGGACAATCCTCTGGTATATCCATTCATTTTATCCTTTCAGTTGAGACCTAGTCATCTTCGATTTTATATCAAAGATAATCTAATAATGTGAGCGAGCTGACTATCTTCATTGAATTGAAAACGTACTAACTCGATATTCGTGCCTCCTGAATGACAGTTATTATATTATTGAAGCTTCGCTATACGCTGTGCTTTTTTTATTCGATAGACAAAATAGCCTCATTCGCACTGCAGAAAATCGTAAAATGAAATTTTCTCGAGCACGTCTGGCATAAAACGTTTTCAAATTGGAAATCCTATTTAATCGGATATTTTTGGGTCCTTTTTTTATGGAGGATGGGGAAAGAGTTTTGTATTGAAACTCCCAAAGGTTATAAAGTCTTGGGAAAAGATATTTCGGTCGCCAACAAATTCCAAAGCATTGCCGTTCAATATTATTGATGATGAGTTGTTCGAAATTATCTCGAGGTTCATGATGATTTTCGTAAAAAATGTTTTCAATATTTTTTCTACTCACTGAATCTAAAGTAGGCGTTTGCTCCCTCATTGAAGAAAATAAAGTTGTCAATTTACTCCCACTGGAAGAAGAGAATATTAACTCCCGTGGGAGGTAAAATAAATTGGTTTCACCATGCATCCTGGCGTCGATACACCTAAAAAATCTGTGCAATCCAAGTGTCTTTATCACTATTATAAAACAAGCAACAATAATATCATGCTTTTTGAATTCCAATGCATACGCATTTTCATATTCTGAACGTAGGTACTTCATATCAAAACTTCCAAATGCAATTGAGTTACACAATATACAAAACAATTTATTCATGATTGACTGAAGTGTCCAAACGAATTTCGTTCAATAATGCCGTCAATCCATGGCATACTATACCTCTGTAGTGCATATAATGATTTGGATCGAGAAATAGACGCCTGAAACACAATTTAAATAATGATGCTTTAAAAGAATGCGTTCAAGTATACCAATAGAGATGATAGTGAGTAGATAATAATTAATGTTGGAAACTCTTTTTCCGTGTATGTAAGATTCATGATAGTCCAATGAACAAAGTTTGACTGGAAAACGCGTGCGATGGCGGAGAAAATGGCCCCAAAAGACCAGAAAAATAGGTTTTCAGCTAATATCTCCTAAAATATGGCAGTAAGATTTTCGGTTCAGATAAAAATTGAAGTTCAGTTAATTTTCTACAAAAATGGTCCTCATCATTTTTCTCGAAAATTTGCCCGGTTTCGAGAAAAACGGCACGAAGCGCACCTCGAATAATGAGCTTCTGTTGTATGCCGGAGAGCACAGTCCGTGTATTTACACATCGGCGGGGGGACAAATTATTCAATAACTTTGTTAAAAATGCATATTTCCTCATGATTCAAACTTCATGTGAAAGAGGAATTCTGTTGCTATCATACCCTGTGAATTGAGTCACGCTTGACTCTTTTGGCCATATCGGAACATGGGTCAAACTTTCTGCTCCCGGTCAATTTTGACCTCGCCAGGAATTTGTTCCTATTTTTTTTTGTATTGCACTAATTTACTCAAAATTCTCTTGATTATGGGTCCTCATAAGGTCCTTTGTCATCCCTGAAATTTGTATACCCTAATTTTTTTTAAATTTTCATTTAATCTTTGTTTATTGAATCCCAATTTTTTGCTGTTTTTGGAGCGCGGGGAAATTTTGTGAACAACCATCAATTA